ATATTGTGCAGCACTGCACAAGCAATTATTACCTAGGGACATATTAAAAAAACATAGTCAAGACACAACAAATGGTCAAGAAATTTCTGTCAATTTAATTAAAAAGTAGGATGTAGAGGACTTATTGTATTTGACCAGGAAATATTTAGTTTTGATACTCTATTTTAATTGATGTTCATTTCTTATCAAATAATAGCTTAATGTAATGTTAGTGAGAAAATCTCCCATGGAACTGATTTTAGTTGAATACCTAACCACTAATATTCAGCAATTAATGTGGCCTTCATCTAAAAAAATGTTATTTTGTCATAACCAATGTTTCTAGCATCATTATCTTTCCATGAATGCATTTCACATCTAATAATTTCTTGGTAAAAATCCGTACCCTTACTAATCTGACACTAAGAGTATTTGATCCTGGCAATGTTTATGCTTTAATTTAGTAGCTATGCAGAAAATGCCACGATTCAGAAATTTGAATATATATCTTTTCCATTTCACAAAACATTTCACGTAAAATGTTCCTCTCTAAGGGTTCATAAACCTAGGATCACTGTATAAGTATACTCATATTTGATTGTCTAAACATCTTAAATATGATTCTTTTTAAATATGATTATTGAGATAACTAATTTTTATTACAGTTGAACTTTAGATTACAATAATTATCTGTCAATATTGAGTGAGGTGCTATTGACAGTAAGATCACATATATCTGACTTGTCCAATCTTGTTTATGTTAGGACGGACTGAAAAAGTGTAGACATTTTTACATTCTTGTTTGAGATTTGTTAATGTATTCATTAAATAAAAGTTATTGTTTATCTTATTAATTGTGTTGGTTTCTTTGTCTACCTGATGCATATTAGGTCCTTAGGGTATTATTGGGGGACATATGTGTTAAAATTATGATTTAACTTCAACTTCAATGGAGTCCACAGAAAAACATTCTGATAATGCTATACCTTGCACGCCTTCTGTGGGGAAAGTCTGATTTCTCCATGTAGTACATGAAACCGCCGCTTCAGTTGTCCAATACCTCTTTCCACACAGTTTCTGGTTTTTATGTGATCTGAAAATCTGCAATAAATACAACTGGAACCACTAGATGATCATATAATATTTATGGGTGGTATTAAATCAAAATGGAGATATCATTATACACTTTACTTGCCCACACGTATTGTTTCATTGATAAGTCACCAAAGATGCATTTACAACAAAGAAGTAGACATTATGATTGTACGACATGTTGCCCGAATAATGCATTTAGCAAAGATATGTAAGTCTTCCATTTCGTTTTATGTTGAAGATTGTATTTCACATAACCAAGGAAATCACTCTATTGGTTAGTACTCGAAGCTGACTCGAAGAAATAGCAATTATACCTGTTGTAGTTTGTCTGTGATCCAGGAAGGGGACGCAAAAATGGTGTTAAAATCCACCTCCGACATGGGTAGCCGCTGTCGCCAAGCAGATGAACTTCACGGGTAACTGGTTCCCTCAAACATCCGACATAACCCGCTTGTTGTCAAGATGCGGGAGTCATGTGTTGAGCCAGGCCAACGTGCTACGATATGTCGACGATCCGGTCGTCGCTGTCAATCACTATCTGTGTATTAATACTGTGGTAGTGATGCCTGTTAATGAATTCATTCTCATTCACGGATGGGGCCTGAATTTGAACGCGGAGTACCATCAATGACACCTACTACACCGGGAAGTTTGCAGTCTGATAAAATCGACGCTGGTGTCGCCTTATATCTTGAACTGGCGTGGGAAGGTGACAAATCTACGGACAATACGCTGACTTGTGAGTGATTGAAGCGTTTGTTCGATGACTCTTGAGATGGTGGGTTGGCTCAGTCCATGGTCATCGCCATTGCACATCTGAAATTTGCCAGTGGCAAGATAACGCAAAGTGACGAGCACTTTGGTAACGAGGACACTGCACAACTCCGATGCGTTACGGGACTTAGATCGTGTTCTAGTAAATCACAGATGTAAACAATACTGTTTCTGTCAAATCTGTACCTTTGTAACAGCTCATTATCATCTAATGTATGCAGAACTTCTCTTCTTTCATTAAATACTCTTGGAATACGTGATGTGACAGCCATTTTGTTTCATATGACTTAAGTCAAAAGAGTTGATTTAAGCCTACCAAGATGAGTCTTAATAGTTAAGTCAAAAATGACAAAACTTAAGTCTAAGTCTGTTGATAAATATGACTTAAGTTTTACCACAAAACTTAAGTCGAAAAACGTGAAAACTAAGTTTTTAACTGACTTAAGTTTTTTAATGACTTAAGTTGTTTGATAAATACGCCCCAGTATACCCACTAGTCAACACTCCAGTCAACAGGCCAGTATACCCACTAGTCCACTCTCCAGTGAACAGGCCAGTATACCCACTAGTCAACGCTCCAGACATCGGGTCAGCATACCCACTAGTCAACACTCCAGTCAAAAGGCCAGTATACCTGCTAGACAACACTCCAGTGAACAGGCCAGTATACCCACTAGACAACACTCCAGTCATCAGGTCAGCATACCCACTAGTCAACACCCCAGTCATCAGGTCAGCACACCCACTAGTCAACACTCCAGTCAACAGGCCAGTATACCCACTAGTCAACACTCCAGTCACCAGGTCAGCATACCCACTCAGTCAACACTCAAGTCAACAGGTCAGCATACCCACTAGTCAACACTCCAGTCATCAGGTCAGTATACCCACTAGTCAACACTCCAGTCATCAGGTCAGCATACCCACTAGTCAACACTCCAGTCAACAGGCCAGCATACCGACTAATCCACTCTCCAGTGAACAGGCCAGTATACCCACTAGTCAACACTCCAGACATCGGGTCAGCATACCCACTAGTCAACACTCCAGTCAACAGGCCAGTATACCTGCTAGTCAACGCTCCTGTCAACAGGCCAGCATACCCACTAGTCAACACTCCAGTCAACAGGCCAGTATACCCACTAGTCAACGCTTCCAGTCAACAGGCCAGCATACCCACTAGTCAACGCTCCAGTCAACAGGCCAGCATACCCACTAGTCAACACTCTAGTCAACAGGCCAGTATACCTGCTAGTCAAGCGCTCCTGTCAACAGGCCAGCATACCGACTAGTCAACACTCAAGTCAACAGGCCAGTATACCCACTAGTCAACACTCCAGTCAACAGACCAGTATACCCACTAGTCAACACTCAAGTCAACAGGCCAGTATACCCACTAGTCAACACTCCAGTCAACAGGCCAGCATACCCACTAGTCAACACTCAAGCCAACAGGCCAGTATACCCACTAGCCAACACTCCAGTCAACAGGCCAGCATACGCAATATTCAACACTCAAGTCAACAGGCCAGTATACCCACTAGTCAACACTCCAGTCAACAGGCCAGCATACCCACTAGTCAACACTCAAGTCAACAGGCCAGTATACCCACTAGTCAGCGCTCCTGTCAACAGGCCAGCATACCCACTAGTCAACACTCAAGTCAACAGGCCAGTATACCCACTAGTCAACGCTTCAGTCAACAGGCCAGTATACCCACTAGTCAGCGCCCAGTCAACAGGCCAGCATACCCACTAGTCAACACTCTAGTCAACAGGCCAGTATACCTGCTAGTCAACGCTCCTGTCAACAGGCCAGCATACCGACTAGTCAACACTCCAGTCAACAGGCCAGTATACCCACTAGTCAACACTCCAGTCAACAGACCAGTTTACCCACTAGTCAACACTCCAGTCAACAGGCCAGTATACCCACTAGTCCACTCTCCAGTGAACAGGCCAGTATACCCACTAGTCAACACTCCAGACATCGGGTCAGCATACCCACTAGTCAACACTCCAGTCAAAGGCCAGTATACCTGCTAGACAACACTCCAGTGAACAGGCCAGTATACCCACTAGACAACACTCCAGTCATCAGTTCAGCATACCTACTAGTCAACGCCTCCACTGAACAGGCCAGTATACACACTAGACAACACTCCAGTCAACAGGCCAGAATAGCCACTAGTCAACACTCCAGTGAACAGGCCAGTTTACCTACTAGACAACACTCCAGTCAACAGGCCAGTATACCTGCTAGTCAACGCTCCTGTCAACAGGCCAGCATACCCACTAGTCAACGCTCCAGTCAACAGGCCAGTATACCCACTAGTCAACACTCCAGTCAACAGACCAGTATACCCACTAGTCAACACTCCAGTCAACAGGCCAGTATACCCACTAGTCAACACTCAAGTCAACAGGCCAGTATACCCACTAGCCAACACTCCAGTCAACAGGCCAGCATACCCACTAGTCAACACTCAAGTCAACAGGCCAGTATACCCACTAGCAAACACTCCAGTCAACAGGCCAGCATACGCTATTCAACACTCAAGTCAACAGGCCAGTATACCCACTAGTCAACACTCCAGTCAACAGGCCAGCATACCCACTAGTCAACACTCAAGTCAACAGGCCAGTATACCCACTAGTCAACGCTCCTGTCAACAGGCCAGCATACCGACTAGTCAACACTCCAGTCAACAGGCCAGTATACCCACTAGTCAACGCTCAAGTCAACAGGCCAGTATACCCACTAGCCAACACTCCAGTCAACAGGCCAGCATACCCACTAGTCAACCACGCCAAGTCAACAGGCCAGTATACCCACTAGTCAACACTCCAGTCAACAGGACGATAAACAACCCAGTCAACACAACAATCATGACACCAGTATTCACGCCTGTCAGCACTAGACCAGACTCTACTCAACACTGCCTGATTATTAAAAAAATTGTTCAAAATGGAAGCAAAATTGTCAGAAGGATTAGATGAAATCTTAGGAATATATTGTCGTGAAAATAACATGTCACTTTCACCTGTGAAGAAATAAGCATGTTTCTGATGCATACATTGGTAAAATGTTCCTGTGTCATTTACCTCAGCTGATTCTCCAAGGATCCAGTTGGAGTCGGGTGTGAAACTCTCGGACCGTTGATGAGCTGCCTCACTTCCGCTGTCTCCAAACAGGGCATCCGAACAGGATCTCATCCAGTAGAACCTCTACAAACAACACAGAATCACTGTTGAAATGGGCATCAACACTGTTGTAATAGACAGAAACACTATTGTAATAGACAGAAACACTGTTGTAATAGACAGAAACACTGTTGTAATAGACAGAAACACTGTTATAATAGACAGAAACACTGTTGTAAAAGACAGAAACACTGTTGTAATGCACAGTACACTGTTGTAATAGACAACACTGTTATAATAGACAGGAACACTGTTGCAATAGACAGGAACACTGTTGTAATAGACAGAAACACTGTTGTAATAGACAGGAACACTGTTGTAATAGACAGGAACACTGTCGAAATAGACAGGAACACTGTTGTTATAGACAGGAACACTGTCGTAATAGACAGGAACACAGTTGTAATAGACAGGAACACTGTTATAATAGACAGAAACACTGTTGTAATGCACAGGAACACTGTTGTAATAGGCAGGAACACTGTTATAATAGACAGGAACACTGTTGTAATAGACAGGAACACTGTTGTAATGCACAGGAACACTGTTGTAATAGACAGGAACACTGTTATAATAGACAGGAACACTGTTGTAATAGACAGGAACACTGTTGTAATAGACAGAAACACTGCTGTAATAGACAGGAACACTGTTATAATAGACAGAAACACTGTTGTAATGCACAGGAACACTGTTGTAATAGACAGGAACACTGTTATAATAGACAGGAACACTGTTGTAATAGACAGGAACACTGTTGTAATGCACAGGAACACTGTTGTAATAGACAGGAACACTGTTGTTATAGACAGGAACACTGTTGTAATATCACACAATAAAGTGGAAAACACATACCTCACCAAGCCATTTACCTTTGAATACCACCAAACCTTCCATAGAAATTGTATCTCCTAACCAGTTATTGTCCCTGACTGACTGACTGAGGTTGGTTTTACGCCGCTTTTATCAATATTCCAGCAACATCACAGCGGGAGTTATTATCCCTGAACATAAGGAGGTCACACTGGATATCTAAGGTACAATTACTATATTTAGACACAAAGTCCACGGCAGTAAACTTGTCATATTTATTAAGGAATGAAAGTTAAAGCATGGATATTGGAGGGTATAGCATTATAGTCCTTTTGTATTGGACATGTTTCTGTTCACTGTGTAGATTCCTGGAGCTACTCACGGAAGTGGTCCCAATCTTCTGGCAGCAGCTGGAACTCAAACTTGTCTGGAATACCATGAGTGAACACTGGCTTGGCCACCGGCTCGAACCCTCCGGCAAGAACACCGCCATTCCATTCCCGAAAGTAGCAGTAACCATCATAGTCTCGAATAACTGAAACAGGGTAGACTCAATATACTGATCAACCTGCACTCTCAAGCCGTATTAGTGTCCGCTAGTATCTTACTGCTATATTTTCTGCTTCAGTCAGCAGTATTGAAAATCACACTGTCCAGGTAAGTGACAGACTGCATTTGTATTTCAGGAACTATGCTTCAATCAGAAATCAATTTACATATATATATATTTATAACTTACTGGCAGTGCTCACATGGCAAGATGTTATTGTGTCAGGTATTTTCACCTTACTCCCAATATATATCAAGATAAGTTTGTAGTTACAGCCCTCCTACCTGGCATGTTGCTGGGGACACCTTCAATAGGCTTGGTGACAATGTAGCGACCTTACTAGTGAGATATGTAACTACTGTAACACAGTGTCTGGTTACAGCCCTCCCACCTGGCATGTTGCTGGGGACACCTTCAATAGGCTTGGTGACAATGTAGTGACCTTACTATTGAGATATGTAACTACTGTAACACAGTGTCTGGTTACAGCCCTCCTACCTGGCATGTTGCTGCTGGACACCTTCAATAGGCTTGGTGACAATGTAGCGACTTTACTTGTGAGATGTGTAACTACTGTAACACAGTGTCTGGTTACAGCGCCCCTACCTGGCATGTTGCTGGGGACACCTTCAATAGGCTTGGTGACAATGTAGTGACCTTACTATTGAGATATGTAACTACTGTAACACAGTGTCTGGTTACAGCCCTCCTACCTGGCATGTTGCTGGGGACACCTTCAATAGGCTTGGTGACAATGTAGCTTACTTTACTTGTGAGATGTAACTACTGTAACACAGTGTCTGGTTACAGCGCCCTACCTGGCATGTTGCTGGGGACACCTTCAATAGGCTTGGTGACAATGTAGTAGTGTTCACAGGAGTGTAAGGGAACCTTCACTTCCGGGGATGACTTCTTGCCAATCTCACGAGCCCACTGCATCAGACAATAATTTACGATTTAGTTCATACTCACAACCTGCAGAGGAATCCGCTTCAAGATCTCCACTGGATGTCCACAGGGCCTGGTAATACTAGCAGTTACATGCTGGAAATTTTTCTTTTGTTTTCTCCGGATCACACATAATCCATATCACATGATCACACATAGCATTGCACCTCATCACATGACAACACACAGCTTTGTACCCTCATCACATGACCACACATAGCATTGTACCTCATCACATGACCACACATAGCATTGTACCTCATCACATGACCACACATAGCTTTGTACCTCATCACATGACAACACATAGCATTGTACCTCATCACATGACCACACATAGCATTGTACCTCATCACATGACCACAAATAGCATTGTACTTCATCACATGACTACAAGTAGCATTGTACCTCATCACATGACCACACATAGCTTTGTACCTCATCACATGACTACAGTAGCATTGCACCTCATCACATGACCACACATAGCATTGTACCTCATCACATGACCACACAAAGCATTGTACCTCATCACATGACCACATAGCTTTGTACCTCATCATATGATCACACATAGCATTGTACCTCATCACATGACCACAAATAGCATTGTACTTCATCACATGACTACAAGTAGCATTGTACCTCATCATATGATCACACATAGCATTGTACCTCATCACATGACTACAGTAGCATTGCACCTCATCACATGACCACACATAGCATTGTACCTCATCACATGACCACACAAAGCATTGTACCTCATCACATGACCACACATAGCTTTGTACCTCATCATATGATCACACATAGCATTGTACCTCATCACATGACTACAAGTAGCATTGTACCTCATCACATGACCACACATAGCATTGTACCTCATCACATGACCACACATAGCATTGTACCTCATCAAATGACCACACATAGCTTTGTACCTCATCACATGACCACACATAGCATTGTACCTCATCACATGACCACACATAGCTTTGTACCTCATCACATGACCACACATAGCTTTGTACCTCATCATCACATGACCACACATAGCTTTGTACCCCATCATATGATCACACATAGCTTTGTACTTCATCCACATGACTACAAGTAGCATTGTACCTCATCACATGACCACACATAGCTTTGTACCTCATCACATGACCACACATAGCATTCTACCTCATCACATGATCACACATAACATTGTACCTCATCACATGACCATAAATAGCATTGTACCTCATCACATGACCACACATAACATTGTACCTCATCACATGACCATACATAGCATTGTACCTCATCACATGACCATACATAGCATTGTACCTCATCACATGACCATAAATAGCTTTGTACCTCATCACATGACCACACATAGCATTGTACCTCATCACATGACCACACAAAGCTTTGTGCCTCATCACATGACCACACATAGCATTGTACCTCATCACATGACCACACATAGCATTGTACCTCATCACATGACCACAAATAGCATTGTACCTCATCAGCATGACCACACATGACATTGTACCTCATCACATGACTACAGTAGCATTGTACCTCATCACATGACTACAGTAGCATTGTACCTCATCACATGATCACACATAGCATTGTACCTCATCACATGATCAAACATAGCTTTGTACCTCATCACATGACCACACATAGCATTGTACCTCATCACATGACTACAGTAGCATTGTACCTCATCATATGATCAAACATAGTATTCTACCTCATCACATGACCACACATAGCATTGCACCTCATCACATGACAACACACAGCTTTGTACCTCATCACATGACCACACATAGCATTGTACCTCATCACATGACCACACATAGCATTGTACCTCATCACATGACCACACATAGCTTTGTACCCTCATCACATGACAACACATAGCATTGTACTCCTCATCACATGACCACACATAGCATTGTACCTCATCACATGACCACAAATAGCATTGTACTTCATCACATGACTACAAGTAGCATTGTACCTCATCACATGACCACACATAGCTTTGTACCTCATCACATGACTACAGTAGCATTGCACCTCATCACATGACCACACATAGCATTGTACCTCATCACATGACCACACAAAGCATTGTACCTCATCACATGACCACACATAGCATTGTACCTCATCATATGATCACACATAGCATTGTACCTCATCACATGACCACAAATAGCATTGTACTTCATCACATGACTACAAGTAGCATTGTACCTCATCATATGATCACACATAGCATTGTACCTCATCACATGACTACAGTAGCATTGCACCTCATCACATGACCACACATAGCATTGTACCTCATCACATGACCACACAAAGCATTGTACCTCATCACATGACCACACATAGCTTTGTACCTCATCATATGATCACACATAGCATTGTACCTCATCACATGACTACAAGTAGCATTGTACCTCATCACATGACCACACATAGCATTGTACCTCATCACATGACCACACATAGCATTGTACCTCATCAAATGACCACACATAGCTTTGTACCTCATCACATGACCACACATAGCATTGTACCTCATCACATGACCACACATAGCTTTGTACCTCATCACATGACCACACATAGCTTTGTACCTCATCACATGACCACACATAGCTTTGTACCCCATCATATGATCACACATAGCTTTGTACTTCATCACATGACTACAAGTAGCATTGTACCTCATCACATGACCACACATAGCTTTGTACCTCATCACATGACCACACATAGCATTCTACCTCATCACATGATCACACATAACATTGTACCTCATCACATGACCATAAATAGTATTGTACCTCATCACATGACCACACATAACATTGTACCTCATCACATGACCATACATAGCATTGTACCTCATCACATGACCATACATAGCATTGTACCTCATCACATGACCATACATAGCTTTGTACCTCATCACATGACCACACATAGCATTGTACCTCATCACATGACCACACAAAGCTTTGTGCCTCATCACATGACCACACATAGCATTGTACCTCATCATACATGACCACACATAGCATTGTACCTCATCACATGACCACAAATAGCATTGTACCTCATCGCATGACCACACATGACATTGTACCTCATCACATGACTACAGTAGCATTGTACCTCATCACATGACTACAGTAGCATTGTACCTCATCACATGATCACACATAGCATTGTACCTCATCACATGATCAAACATAGCTTTGTACCTCTCATCACATGACCACACATAGCATTGTACCTCATCACATGACTACAGTAGCATTGTACCTCATCATATGATCAAACATAGTATTCCTACCTCATCACATGATCAAACATAGCATTGTACCTCATCACATGATCACACATAGCATTGTACCTCATCACATGACTACAGTAGCATTGTACCTCATCACATGATCAAACATAGCATTCTACCTCATCATATGATCAAACATAGCATTGTACCTCATCACATGACTACAGTAGCATTGTACCTCATCACATGACTACAGTAGCATTGTACCTCATCACATCACCACACATAGCATTGTACCCTCATCACATGATCAAACATAGCTTTGTACCTCATCACATGACCACACATAGCATTGTACCTCATCACATGACCACACATAGCATTGTACCTCATCACATGACCATACATAGCTTTGTACATCATCACATGACCACACATAGCATTGTACCTCATCACATGACTACAGTAGCATTGTACCTCATCACATGACCACACATAGCATTGTACCTCATCACATGACCACACATAGCATTGTACCTCATCACATGACCACAAATAGCATTGTACCTCATCGCATGACCACACATAGCATTGTACCTCATCACATGACTACAGTAGCATTGTACCTCATCACATGACCATACATAGCATTGTACCTCATCACATGACCACACATAGCTTTGCACCTCATCACATGACCACACATAGCATTGTACCTCATCACATGACTACAAGTAGCATTGTACCTCATCACATGACCACACATAGCATTGTACCTCATCACATGACCACACATAGCATTGTACCTCATCACATGACCACAAATAGCATTGTACCTCATCACATGATCAAACATAGCATTGTACCTCATCACATGACCACACATAGCTTTGTACCTCATCACATGACCATACATAGCATTGTACCTCATCACATGACAACACATAGCTTTGTACCTCATCACATGACCACACATAGCATTGTACCTCATCACATGACTACAGTAGCATTGTACCTCATCACATGACCACACATAGCATTGTACCTCATCACATGACCACAAATAGCATTGTACCTCATCACATGACCATACATAGCATTGTACCTCATCACATGACCACACATAGCTTTGTACCTCATCACATGACCACACATAGCATTGTACCTCATCACATGACTACAGTAGCTTTGTACCTCATCACATGACCACACATAGCATTGTACCTCATCACATGACCACACATAGCATTGTACCTCATCACATGACTACAGTAGCATTGTACCTCATCGCATGACCACACATGACATTGTACCTCATCACATGACTACAGTAGCATTGTACCTCATCACATGACAACACATAGCATTGTACCTCATCACATGACCACACATAGCATTGTACCTCATCACATGACTACAGTAGCATTGTACCTCATCACATGACTACAGTAGCATTGTACCTCATCACATGACCACACATAGCATTGTACCTCATCACATGACCACAAATAGCATTGTACCTCATCACATGACCATACATAGCATTGTACCTCATCACATGACCACACATAGCTTTGTACCTCATCACATGATCACACATAGCATTGTACCTCATCACATGATCAAACATAGCTTTGTACCTCATCACATGACCACACATAGC